TTCTATCCGCAAATCCTATTCTATATAGTGCATTTCTTTCTATCCGCAAATCCTATTCTATATAGTGCATTTCTTTCTATCCGCGAATCCTATTCTATATAGTGCATTTCTTTCTATCCGCGAATCCTTTTCTATATAGTGCATTTCTTTCTATCCGTGAATCCTATTCTATATAGTGCATTTCTTTCTATCCGCGAATCCTATTCTATATAGAGCATTTCTTTCTATCCGCGAATCCTATTCTATATAGTGCATTTCTTTCTATCCGCGAATCCATTTCTATATAGTGCATTTCTTTCTATCCGCAAATCCTATTCTATATAGTGCATTTCTTTCTATCCGCGAATCCTATTCTATATAGTGCACTTCTTTCTATCCGCGAATCCGGTGGAATCATCAAGTCAAATTTCCACTGAAACTATGCTAACACAGGACCCTTCCCACCACCACATCTACGCCCTAAGAAACCCGAGATATCCCCCCCCCCCAACCAACCAAACGAAGACAAAGCCTCCGGGACTTCACTGTAAGATTTCAATGTCAACACTCCAAACTTGGCACAGCCCATCTAGAGCCCAAAATAAACGGTCCTCAAAGATAGCTTCATTTTATTCAGCATGAACCTCTCACGGGTGTTCTGATCCAGTGTTTGCCGAATGGGCAAGTTTGGCGGACCTGTGGGCAAGTTTGGCGGACCTGTGGGCAAGTTTGGCGGACCTGTGGGCAAGTTTGGCGGACATGTGGGCAAAGGGAGAAAGTCCTTGATATTATAATTTAACAATGGTTTATTGAATCCATTTATATGTAGAATACAATTATAAATATAAAGTGCAATATTAATTCGATAAAGTAACTTCATAAAGTCCTCACTGTGGGACAAAAGGGATGTCTTTTATCCACACACAAAAAAACAACAAAAAAACAATGTGTCAGTTCAAATTGTGTAGCACTGAGGTTTCATTTGTTCCAATCCTTTATATTAGCGTCGCGTATGTTCGCGCTTTTCTTTCTGCCTGGGTGCGTGGCAAAATCTTCCGACGGCTAAATGACCCACTTCCAGTCAACCTATCGCAATGAAACTTGGCACATAGACGCGTTGCCGATGACAACTCAACTCATATCAAATTTTCGCGGCCCCCACCCCCCACCCAAAAAAAAAAAATGTTTTTCCTATGTTTTTTCAAGGGGAAGATGAAGGAAATATTATGCCACTGATTTCACCAAATAAAATTCCCAATAGCTGCGCTAAATGAGATTCTTTATTTATATATATATATATAGATCGCAAGTGCATTATATTTTCTTCTTTTATTTCCTCTCCACTAGCTGGTGTAATAAATATGCGGTGTAAAAGTCCTGGCCTTTGTTCATTAGAATATTAATATACAAGAAAATAATTTTAAAAAATGCATATAAAGGATTTTTACGAAACAATTTTGTTTTTAAGGGTTGTTCAATGATTTATTCATGTTTGATTGTGAGACTAAGCGCCTACAGTTGGAGGAAGTGGAGACGGCTTTGTGGTCTTTGTGGAATAAGACCAGACGACTCTCCCACTGACTTTTTAAACTAAAATCCCAGCTAGCAGACGACTCTCCCACTGACTTTTTAAACTAAAATCCCAGCTAGCAGACGACTCTCCCAATGACTTTTTAAACTAAAATCCCAGCTAGCAGACGACTCTCCCACTGACTTTTTAAACTAAAATCCCAGCTAGCAGTCGACTCTCCCACTGACTTTTTAAACTAAAATCCCAGCTAGCAGACGACTCTCCCACTGACTTTTTAAACTAAAATCCCAGCTAGCAAGCGACTCTTCCACTGACTTTTTAAACTAAAACCCCAGCTAGCAGACGACTCTGTAGGTTGACATGCGGAAAACCACTGGGCCGTTGTTTCCCGTTAAACCACCGATCAAAGCGCGCCCCTCGGTGATCCCCAGGGGAGATTATCGATTCAGCACCTTCCCCCCCCCCCACACACACACACACTGCATTCCACAAACTGACAAAACTCCCACCTCACAGAGTTCCCGCCGCTGTCCTTGCCGTACCCGTGTGGCTTACAGTCATTAGAGCTCTGTCTACACAGATAAAGTGCCGGCCGTTGTTTTGGATAGCATGGGATGTGGCGCGCTGTGCACTTGGAGCGCTCTGACCTCAGCAGGATGTCGTGGGATGCTTTCATTGGGGGACAACACGTGTGACGTAGGTGAGTTGCACACTGTTGCAATGAGACGCCGTTATTTTAATAGAGGAAACAATGTCACAAACCAGTTTGGTGGAGAGTAATTTGCGAGCGCCCCCCCCTCCCAAACCACGCCCCAATCAACCCAAGTCTCAATAGGATACTTAGAGTAAGCCTCACCATCAACGTCAGCAGCGTCATGAACGCAAGACGAACAGGCGACATCAAACCAAGAGGCGACATCAACCCAAATGGCGATATCAACCCAAGAGGCGTCATCAACCCAAGATGCGATATCAACCCAAGAGGCGATATCAACGCAAAAGGCGACATCAACCCAAGAAGCGATATCAACGCAAGAGGCGACATCAACCCAAGAAGCGATATCAACGCAAGAGGTGTCATCAACACAAGAGGCGACATCAACCCAAGAGGCGTCATCAACACAAGAGACGTCATCAACCAAAGAGGCGATATCAAACCAAGAGGCGACAATCAACGCAAGAGGCGTCATCAACCCAAGAGGCGACAATCAATCCAAGAGGCGACAATCAACCCAAGAGCCGTCATCAGCCAACGAGGCGATATCAACCCTATGAAAGCCAGCGGCGTACCTGGGAGGGGGTCTGGGGAAGGTTACCCCCCCCCCTTACGGGGCGGTACATTTGTTCGTGTTTATTACCAGCATTGTGTTTATATAATGGATGTCAGGTGGGGGGGGGGGTCAGGTTTGGGGGTTCTTCATTTAGCAAGGCTGCGGCTATCCCAACCCGTTATCAGAAGTGAGAGGTTGGGTTTGCTAAAAATAAATAGTCTAAAGGGACCCGGGTCCGAATAGCGTGCCCGGGGCCATTTTGACTAATTGCTATTCGGATGTCATTTGTGGTAGTTTGTTTTAGTTAAAGTGAAGAAGGTAGTTTACAAACATATAGTCCATTCCATTATCTTTCATTCGATACCAAATGTTATCTTACAAACCCAACAACAATAATATTTTTAAAATTTTTAATCCCAACCTCTCACTTCTGGCAGCCGGTTCCCAATAGCCACGTCCTTTGTTTAGCCAAAGTGCATCAAGTTCAGGGTTTCTTTCAGCTATATATCCGGGAGGGCACTGCCCCCCCCCCCGAAAAAAGCCAAGTGCCCCCCCCCCC